CTGGTGGGAGAGGGAGCGGAGGAGAGAAAGAGGGTATATTCCCAAACAATTATTTTTATTTTGGTAGCAAAACAAACAGTTCCTAAGCTTTTTTGTACTGATTAACTGAAAAATCAAACGAATGAACTTTTTGCATTAAATCAGCATGTTATTCAGTAAATTGCTCATTACTCAAACTCATATCGTTGCATGATACCTTTCTTCACAGTCGAATTTAATTCGGCTCTTCCTTGGAGCAATCTTCTACACAGAGGTCTGCAGTTGTTGTCATGATACAGAATATTTATTAATTCCCGTTTTTTTTCTAAGTGATATAAAACTTTATGGTTCGCTTCCGAAAAATGTCGACTTTCCCGTGATCTTGATCTTAGAAGTATGGTCTCACTTTGAACTTTCTTTAAATACTTTTCTAATGACGCGCAAGTGCAAGAAGAAAAATAACGCTTAGTCTTCAATCATATGAGTTCTCAACGATTATCTTTCCAACCCAGTATTAATGTCGTAGTATTTCCAAAGCTAGTTTGATTTGAAAGAATTATCAAAATGTGCGAATTCTGTCTCTAGCCGATTTTTGAAGATTGTCATCTTGCATGTAATGCTCGAGGCTATTTTCTTTTGATGATACCAAGTTCAAAGAAAAAACTGCAACATGTACAAAGTGAAAATTTTTTCCTTGGAATGTCCTCGGTCTTTTTCAAGTTTAGCAACAGTTGGTTCTATGCACTAACTTGCATAAGTTTTTCTATAGCTTATAGATTCAAAGTACTGCTTTCTATTGCATTTTCCAAGCAGTTACACTTAACATTAAATCATAACGTTTAACATATTGCCTCACTTTCTTCATAACATTTTGCTCTGTTTTAATCCGTCGTAATAAATTTGATAAATTATTTGAAATTTGTGAAATCTCGCACTCGTTTGTTCTTTTTTCACTACCGCCATCAATTCGTCTTTCTTTGCCAGATATTCGCCTATTATCCAGTCTTTCTGCGTACAATGAATAAATCCTAGGATAATATCCATATGTTTTAGGATCGGTTTGGCGGCGTCAACGCAAAGCTGAGTGTCGGCATAGACATATGGTAAGTTCCGCCCTTCCAGCGTTAAGTGCCTAATCTAGAAGAACCACATAAACTCTCGGCATCCCACCAGCTCCTCCCCCTTGTTCGTGCGCAGTCAGATTCTCTCAGTTAAATTATGAGCGATCCACGATTCCTAGCACCTTTCTATGATTCTCAATGACAGATGGGTCACGTACCTGAACAAGAACTTGTGGGCAGACTCATGGCATGGACAGCTTTCATTTACATACAAGTAAATGATCCTCAGAAAATTTGTTTATTTCAAACTTGTTAACTTCAAGGCTGGCGAGAGATTCTTAAATGTTTTCACAATAAAAATTCTTTCTTTTCCTAAAGAACTTTGATTCAATACTTTAGGCGGCTTTGGGAGCACTGTGGAGCTCCAGCACAAGCCCAGCTCCACAAGAAGTACAGCCGATTCAGCCAGTTCCCTATCGCTTGTGCCTCGGATTACATGATGTTTTCATTGCATTGTTTTTGGTGAGTGAGCACTTCACTTACTTGTCTTACTCTATTGTATCTTTCCTCTTCTGAAAAATGCCGCTTTACAATCTAAATTCTATGACGAAATGCATTATCTTTTGTAAAATGACATCACGGCATAACTGGCGA